GTGTGTGTTTTCTTAAAGAAATAGTACTATTATTCAGCAAGGAGGCATTAAATTCAATAAAGTTAAAATCAAATTAAACTAAAAAACTGTCAACCCTGTAACCTTTCTGATGGCATAATTATATTGCAGTTTGAGATGGCTCAGTGTAATTAATTAACACTGAAAATATTACCATATATTGTTCTGATAAAATCTTCCACAAATTAATTTTACAAATTGCAAATCAAACTGGCTAATCAGTCTGACTTTAGATTTTTAATGCAGAATCAACTGGGGAATTCAGGGACGAGGTGCATATACCATATTTCTTAGCATCTGTTAATTAAGATGTCATATTTTCTGCAGACTGCCTTTTTCATTTGTCATAGCTGTCACCACTACCTCATTCCTGTGATACTATACTCCATGCATCTCTCTTCTTGGTTTGTCATTGCTCGGTTCTGTGTGTTGTGTTAATCAAACATGCATCTTAAATGGGCACCTCAGTGCACGTGGCAAAACCGGGTAAGTAGACCAGCGAGTGTTTGTATTCCCCACACGTCTGCCACAGCATGTTTATTTAGGCAAGGGCATACCTTTGCATCCATATCTCGCTTAAAGAGACACAGTGAAAGCCCTGCATATGGAAGGCCAGCTGGACCGGTCTGCTAAAACAAATGTTGGACTAATGACCTTACTTAGCTTAACAAATATACATTGACCTCTTTCAAATTCATTCAATTAAAAGAAGACAAAAAAGGGAGGGGGGGGGACTAAGGAACAAAATACAGGAGGGTTGCAAGGGAAAAAAGGGTTTTAAATGACTAATGTGAGGTCCGTTACTAAAAGTACTGAAACTCATTTGACTCAATAAACACTGTGGCATATACCAGATCATTGTAAATGTTATAAGATAAAGTAAGGTTTGTTTTTAGAGCCCAGTATTTCATATGATTAGTGCTTTTTACAATCACCAGAATTGTATTGCAGTATATTTAGTAAATTCATCATCAATCCCTTTAACATGTCTTCATACCTTTTTGACAATGGTTCCACATAACTCATAATTCTCATTTCCATTAACAAAACTCATTTATTCCCTGTCTTAAAATAATATGAGCCATAGACACTGATACTACTTAAATGAAATGTACTTAAGATTTGATATTTTGTTTGCACATTGTAAACATTTGAGTGAGATGTTAGAATGTAAATTGCATATTAAAGGAATAGTTTACTTTTCATCATTTACTCACCTTAATTTTCTTCCAAACCCTTATGACTTTATATTCTTCCGTGGAACACAAAAGGATAAATGTTGATGAATGTACTGGTCGCTCTTTTCCAATGAAAATGAACAGGAACTGCGCCTGTCAAGCTCCAAGATGACAAAATAGCAGAATAAACATCATTAACTGGTGTCTGTACTGCATAGTAAAAGTCTTCTGAAGACATAAAATGTAAGAAAAATAGGGTACAATGTACTGTGTTATTATGAAGAAATTTTCTGAATTGATTTATCACAGTTGTTTTACCTATACGTTAAATTATGCATTGAATTGTGTAGTGTTTTAGGTAATGTCCTAGCAAACATTTACCAGTATCTTTTCTGTGTTTCTACAGATTTTTTTTCCTCACAAGGTATGATTCCTTGTGAAAACCTATTTACCTTCCCCTGGAATTATCATTAAGGCTGAATGCACTATACATATAGCAAGATTTTCTGTAAATAATCAGTTAAGGTCTGTTCCTCACACAAAGATTCACATGGCTTTAGAAGACTTGAAAAATAGTGCATAGGTTGTTATGAACTATATTTCATAATGCTTTTTTGGAGCTTGACATCCTGTATCCTTAATTCACTTTCATTATATAAAAAAGTGTGTACAAAAAGAAGATCATATAGGTTTGGAACGACATGAGGGTGAGCAGAAAATAAGATAACTATTCCTTTAAGACTTTGGTTAAACCTGCTATTTAACCTTAAATCTAAACTTTTTTTGAAGAAGAGTTATTCACTACAGTAGAGGCAATTATTTCTTTATCTGCTGACCTTTAAAGAGACGTCACATGATGTAGCCTATGCATTTATCTTATCATCTCATGAAGTGTTTTCAATAGGCTTTCAATAGGGATTAAGCGATCCTGCATAACTGCACAGTCCTCACCTGCTTTCTCTTACATCTGCCAGTTTATCACTTTTAGAGGAGTTTGACTGTAGCTGTAATGAACTGGAGTCCCTGCCTCCCACCATTGGCTACCTGCACAGTCTTCGGACATTTGCAGCCGATGAGAACTTCCTGACTGAGCTGCCCAGGGAGGTGAGTATTAGTGTTATGCACTTTCTACAGTACTAATAATGAGGGAAATCAAAGGCACATTCTCTGTATATTTTACCTCTCTTTGTGCTGAAGATAAAACCTACACCAGCGAAGTCAGTTTAGATGGTTGGCAGCTCAAAACCATTAAAACTGTCAAAACAAGTTTAAGAACATTTACTGTATATGCCAAGTTATACAATAACTTGGCCAGCTTAGACCAACACTTCTGAAAGTTAAGTAAAACCAGTTAACAGCTGAACTAAAATCAGTTAACTAAGACCATTTTAGAATTTTTGATTAGTTTATTTCAACAAGGCTTAGAAATTACTTGCCAACAAGGCCACTTTTTTTTTTTAGTTCACCTTCAGAACTTCGATAAATCTGGGGTCTTATAGATTTTACATGAATAAGTAATACCTTCATGATATCTTAATAGCTGTTATATTCATAAAAAGTGTTTACTTAATGCATTTATTTAATTAAAAATACAGTAAAACAGTAATTTTGTGAAATATTACAATTTTAAATAAAACAAGCTGACTTTTCAGCAGCCATTACTCCAGTCTTTAGTGTTACATGATTCCTCAAAAATCATTCTAATATACTAATTTCAAGAAACATTTCTTAT